AGCTTCTTGTGATCCACATCCTTGTGTTGGTACAACCCTTGAGGCTTCGTGTACTTCTCATCCACCACTTGCCTCCTCCTCCCCAGCTTATTCCCCATTTTAACAACAAAAAAATCCAAAACCCAAAATTGCGAAAAGCTTAAATCTTTCGATTAACATTTAGGAAATAATTAAGAACCCATTTTTCTCACATCACTAAACTATCAAAACACCACCACCCCACCTGAAGGCAAGAACAATTCAATTCGCCCCAAGAAACACACTGAAATCCTGCAAATAACAAATATTTTCCAAAATTAAGCTCTTATTATATATTAGAAGACAACAAAAATGTGAAAAAAGCAATCATATTAACTGCAAAATGAAAGAATTGAAAGAATTTGAGAGAACTAACCCGGGAAATCTTGGCCCAAAATATCAACAGTAGAGCATGGTAGACATGTACAGAGTTGTGTATATTAGCACATGCTATCTGTATCTGAATATGTATTAGGGTGCGTAGAGAGAGAGGAGGAGAAGGGAAGAAGGGGAACAAGATCAGAACTGTCTTGCGTCTGTATCTAGTTTATATGCAGTTTATCTGCATAGCACACTAATAATACGGTAAATTTATTTAATTAATTATGTTTTCAATGGTACTTTTGTTTTGTTCTACTAGTATTTATCACCTTGTTTCTCTAAAAATGAAATAGGAGAATAAATAGTAAATATTCCCCTTTTTTGATAAAAGAAGGTTTTTTTGTCATTTCCCTTGTTCTTTTTTGGTTGAAGTGTAGGGATTTATCAAAGAAAAATGTTATTGGCACTTTAATCGTGCTCTCACTATTACTTTTATTATATAATTTTCATTTATTAGATTATATAATAAAATAAATGATAAAAGTGCATGCAAATAACACTTCCCTCTATAAAATGGTTGGAGTTTGGCATGCAACTAGCATCACATGTATAAAGATTTGATGGATTATAATTGTATTCTGATAAACAAGATAAAAATTTGTTGCCTTTCTGCATGAAATGAATTAATGACATTTTAATGATTCAGTTTCTATAGTTGGTTGGATTTTAGAGGTTCTTTTATCATCGTTCACTATTAGACTAATAAAAATTTACTCATCTTTCCCAATAACCATGTTCACTATTTTTTTCTCATTTCGATAAGATGATAATTGTTAGCCCATCAAACAAATAAGTTGGTAATTTGAGCTTATTGGTGCTTGTTTGTAGTTATTGGCTTAACAAGAGCTCCTCTTGTAATAATATCTTAATCAAATCCTTTAATATGTCAGTTAAAGCATTCTTAGTAATTAATAACACATTACTATATTAGCATTGGCCTATTTCTTTTTTGCTTTTTTATAAGAGTGAATCTTCTATACACTGACAGTGTATACACTATCATCGTTGGATTCATGATATATGTGTAAAAATTGAATTTCAAATTCAAAATTTTCATAATTGTTATTCATCCAATACTGACAGTCTATACACTATCGGTGTAGAAAAGGTTAATCCTTTTTATAAATAAAAAATCTTGAATTCATGATTTTTTACTTATAATCCCTCTCTCGTCCTGTTTCTTCAAATAAAGCAACATGGTAGTAGTGATTGTTTTCGACATAAAAATCCTCATAAAATGTGGCTCATGCCAAAGGGTCCCTACCATATAAAAAAGTGCTTAGAAGTATTAGGGAATTTCAAAACTTGATAAATCTTAAATTGCAACAATGAGTATAAACCAAAATTATAAATACTTCAATTAATTATACAATGTGTATAGAGTGGGTTGGGCTTGGTGGGGTTGCCAAATGGGAACAATTTTGCCATCCATTTTGGTCTGTTGTTTGTTTGGTTTGGTCACTTTCGGCGTGAAATGGTATGTAAAGAGGGAGATGGTTATGTCAAAAAGGAGGGTTTTGAAAATGATTTTTTGCAACAATAATAAAATTCGAAATACGAAAATGTGGAGTATACTCGACAGAAGCAAAGCAAAGCACGAATGGGTGGAGTAGCAGACCCGTAAAGAATCCATGGAGAGCGGGAGAGGTGGGCAAAGGCAAGTATTGTGGCTTTGTGTGTGAGACAGGATATTAAGAACACGCGCTGACTATGGCGAGTGTAATGCATGCGCTGATATGAGCAGGTGCAGGCATGATGCTTTTCTCCTATTCTCCTTGTTTGTTTGTGGTCCTTTGCTTTCCCTCTTGGGAGTTTTTGCTTTGGTTGATTCATTGATTGGACTACACATTCAATTTGGGTGATGATTTTTTTTAAAAAAAATTTCTGGGTATAAGAAACCGTAGGATGAAATCACAAGCGTTTGTTTGTACAATGAATTATTTACATAAATTTATTTATTTATATTATAAATATATTTTTAATTATCTTTTTATCTCACATACATTATATCAAAAAATATTACAATATATATATTTTTAAAATTATTTCAAATAAATTACTGTCCAAACTTTACCTTTCTAAAGTCAATGAGCGAAATCTAACTTTAAGCTTTAGTGCCATGATGATGCTATTGAGTTTTGAAATGCAATCAAAATATTAGACCAAGTATTATAAGCATTTTGTCATGTTGTTTTGTTTTTTTCGATTTTATAACCTTTCTACTGTTTGCATAGGAGGAAAATCCAATCGTTCATACAACTTACATTATGTTCAAGAAAATGATGATAAAGAGGGTGCAACAACTTTAATTTTGTACAGCACTTTAACAAGTATCTTCTCCAACTTCATTTCATTCAAATAAATAAATACGTGGCAGAATAAAATTTTAGTGTAATAACTTGTATTTTGGAGATCCCATATTCCAACGCGACGTTTGGCATGTACATGATTATTTTAATTTGGCAAGTAACGTGATTGATTTTCATCAGCACATCATGCAAACTAATCAAGGTTTATTGAACATTTCTCAGTTTTAATCAGAATTGAATCCATGCTTCCTTGTTTTTGAAGTTTTGAGGATAATAGGAGGAATGAATAACTACATATGTAGAGAAGAATAAAAGTAGGAAGGAAGATTTGGATCCACGACTGGAATGGTAAAAGAATAGAAAAATTTGTTGCGAGGTAATGTTTTTATTCCCGTCTTTTTCCCCTAAAATATCAGTATGCTAGGGTCGAACTTAAAAGAGGTAAGAGTCCATAAGCTTCATTTGATTGCTTGACCGCACAGATTTTTGTGAGGCCATTTCGTTAAACCTTCCATTTTGATGGCCGTACTATCCAAAACTCATTTTTCAATCACTTTTGTGACTCACATATATGATATCAAAAAAGTAATATAGTATTTTATTTTACAAAATTATCGCAAATAATTTACTATCAAAACATAACATTTTTGTGAGGCCATTTTGGTGGCCGTACTACCCAAACTCATCAATGTGCTTTGGGCATGGCATCGACCCTTTCAAACAATGGCATGACTTTTGTCTAAAAGGCGAGCAGCTATGGCCCGTGAAATGGTCACTTTTTGTCTCCAATTATTATAACTTGGACCACATTGTATCAGACACTAAATTGGTTGACCAAAATCAAGATCTCTTGTGACTCCTGTCTTTGCTTTAGAAACTAGGAATGTCTATCAAGATGGTTAAATATACGTTTAGTTCCTATCATGTGATTAATTAATGATCATGCGGTACCAACTACATCTTTTCTCAGCCTTGTGGTGTTTAGTTCACCCAATTTGTTAAGAGGATTACGAGACCAATTGTCCTCTACTTGTACAATGTGTTTAATAAACTCAACTCAATCTACGATATTGGATATTGAATGTCCCTTTTCGGGTTCAAAAAAGTACCATATGTATTAGCAATTGACAAGCCAAAAAGGGCAACAAAACTAACATGCAAAAACTTGGATATACATAGCCTATGTCTATATTCTATGCTCTAATGCTCCCATTCATTTTTTCCCTTTTTTTTTTTGGCCCAAATGCATTGCAGTTGCTGTTGCCTATGTCTCTAAGTTGAACTAACGAAGTAATCAGGGTACTCTTTGAACTTTTCCTTATTTGTGAGTTGCTTCCCCTCCTATATATTTTCAACGTTGGCAAATACTGCCTGTTGTGCTTTGGTACGGGAGTTTGTCCTGCCTAATGAAACCTAACCACAATATAAATAGTCTAATGACCTGCAAAACTCCAGAGATAGATTAAATTACTGCATTTAGACCATTTAAGTATTTTGGCAGCAGTGACACTTTGACCAAATTGGCTTCGTAATTTAAGTTTGAGCCCACTTGTTAAAAAAAAAAAAAAAAGGGATGGATATGTATATTCTTGTCTGTATAGGAGAAGATGGAGAATTTGAAGGGATTGGGCGAATATCTCCTTTCTTTTTAATGTTTTATGGCAGAAATGAGATGATGCACCTAACTGACTTAGATCAGAATCAGCATTTTGTAGTTGCAACTCTCGGGGCAGAGCATTCTACAGTTTCACCAAACATATTCTGGGCTGCCAAAGTTCACCAAATGCATGCGCCCTCGGACTTATTCTTCTTGTACTTTGGTGACATAATGGCCAAATTGCTTGCAGGCCCCTCCTTATCTTGCTTTTTTGAGTACCAATTTTCTGTTAGTTGGGGGAAAAGAAATACGGATACAAGCGATTTTATCTCAAGAATGTGAGCTCCTCGATGGGGAAAAAAAGGCCAGAAGAGAAAGTACACAAGACTACCATGTGGTTTGGAAGCTTACACATAAGCTCCGTTGATACTTTAACAAAATAACTAGTACCATATGCAGACCTTTCCTTTAGAAATATGGACGATGTAAGAAGATAACAACACATCAAGTCGCTAATTTTCAATTCTGATACCAAAGCTTCTTTCCTTTTCACGCTTCACTGAAAATTTATGTATTTACTATAATTCAACTTGTTCAAGTATATAAAATAAACTTAATAGTAGTTTTCTATTACAGACAGCTAAAATGAATATTTCTTACATCAACCTCAAGAGAGAAAATTTAAAAAAGAAAATCATATAAAAGATCAAAAGGAAAAACTTAATAAAAATTTTAAAAAAATCCAGTGACATGCGCAAAAGTTGTAACCAGGGATACCAGTGTAATTCGTCCAAGAGCACTTTTGTTTCCCATAGAACTGACGCCGACCATTTCGCAATCCATGGCTAAAACATCTGTGACGCTGCAATGTGGTTGATAATTGTCAAAAAAAATAACTTTGAACAAGACAAATAAAGTATAAGCATACCATTGAATGCAGTATGCTTCTTAGATCCCACCCCTCCCCTATTACTATAAAGAAGAAGAAGAAGAAGAATGAAGCGAAAACAAAATGTTACCCACGAACAAATGCCAAAATTGGAACCACTACATAAAGGGCTAACATTTCCTTATTGTTTATTCTGGATTATTTAAGATTGAGAATTCATTCACTATCATAACAGCTATAACTCGTTAATTCAAACACATAAGCTCACTCACATCTTCTATAAGCATAAATATTAAGAAAACATCCGCACGTCACTTGTTAAGCATCCTGCTATTTCCCACATTACCACATCATAAAGATTATAGTCAGCCATCTTCCCCACATCCCCTAGCCGCCACCCCCCCCCCCACAAAAAAAAAAACCACATATCAAGCCCAAAAAAGTCCATGCACTGTTTAGGAGGATTTTTCAAGTTTATCCTTCTCTTTATGAAATACGGAAACTTTAGCCTAAAAGCTCAAATTAGTCAATACTCGACCTGAATTCCCTTCCTCGACTGAAAAATTCATTTAAACATAAATTTAAGAATAAAAATTTATAAATGAATAACTAAATAAATAAACGCCACAAACGGATACTACAACTTAAAGTAAAACGCTTTTCCTGCACCTGGAATCAGAGGAGCTTGGGATCAATGGGTTAGGCTTAGAACCATCAGTCTCAGTCACTGGCCTCTCTTTACGCTTCCCTGAGATTATAACCAACACGAGAACATAGAAAAATGCAAACTTTTATCGAACATTACTGTGAATGGACACTGCAATACCTAAAAAACCAGTGAATCAAAAAATTGTGTAGAATCATACTTTAAATACTAGTATACAGCAGAATCAACCACTTAAAGTACCAGCAAAAAAAAAAATGGGATTGACCTAAAATGGAATTCTGGGATTCTGGTTCTGATTTCTGTTGTTGGCTTCTGGTGGACTGTTTCTTTGGGCCATTGCTCTTTATCAGCTTCTGCATATACGAGTGAATTAATAAAGAAATACAAGCAAAAAAAAAAGGTAGAAGAAAAGAATTAGTATTTGAATAAGTTAATGTGAAAGTGGAGGAACTATAGAGTTGTAGATTACTTGACGGAGCAGCTCCCAGTTGGGGTTGAGCTGATGCTCCTTAGGCTTAGGGCTTCGCAGCTTCCCCTTCATCTTTCTCTTCTTCGTTATTTTTTCCAACAACTTCCCAGGCACATTTATTTCAACGCACCGGTTAAGCGACGTCGCTTGGGATGATGACTTTCCAGTTCTCACTCGTAATCCGGCCCCGGTTGGGAAGTTAGCATTTGTCACCACCATTATGGCTGCAAACGAGCCGAGTCGAGTCGAGTTTTGAACTAATCGATCCGAATCTCGACTAAATTTTACCAAATTCGAACTCGATAAGCCGGCAATTTTCGAGCTCGAACTCGACTCGAATCAAGTCGAGCCGAGCTCGAGCTCGAAAAAAATAAAAAAATAATTATTTTATTTTTAAAAAAATAAATAATATTTTTTTCTTAATAAATAATAAAATATTAAGAATATATACGTAATTTTACTATGAAAATAAAAAAATAAAAATATATATATATAATATACATAATTTTATTATTAAATAAATATATATATATATATACTCAAGCTCGCGAGCTAACGAGCTTAATATTTTGAACTCGATTTCGAGCTCGAGTTCGACTCGAGCTTGACTCGTGTCGCTCGCGAGCGGCTCGATTCGTTTGCAGCCCTAGTTGCATTTGCGGTAGATATGTCTAGAATTAACCAGTGTCAAAATGTTCTCTAGCCAAGACATGCAGGTGTAACAATTCTCAACACGATTTAAAAATTCGAATCGAACCTAACATAAAATTAGTAGATATGATTTTACTTTTCACGGATTTGGATTAAATTCAGGTCAGATCCGAACGATCCACTAATCAAACAAGTCCAATTTAGATCAACATGGGTTGACCCGTTTGACTAGTTTAATATGTATTTTTATAATTTAATAAATAAAATAGAGGCATAAAATAAATAAAAAAGAAAACTAACTAAGGCTATAATTAAGTATTACGAGAACGAAAGCATGAATATTATGCGAAAATAAGGTATTTTATGTGTGCAAGTGTCGTAGTTTTTTTTTTTCATTTTTTTTACAAAAAAAAAAAATACTACGAGATTGGACTACAATTTCTATGTTCTGATGGAAACTTCATTATTAAAAAAAATCCACCGTACTACCAAAGTGAGAAGGTTAAAAAATAAAAAGAAAATTAAGCGAACAAGTTATTTAAATAGGATTCCGATAACTCGTGAAATTAACAAATCTTATTTGGGTCAAGAAAATTGACTCATTTAAATTTTCGGATGGTGTTCGAGTTGACGTGTTATTCAGAAAACGTGAGTTTCAAGCTGACCTGCCAACCTACGAGGCTACGACCCGACCCAATTATCATTCCTAACGACATGTGGTTAATTTGTGTACTAGCCTTTTAAGGTCTACAACTATAGTTTTGCTCAATTGCCAACCCTGACGTTGAGACTCAAGTTTTGAAGTAATGGTGGTTCACGCAAAGAGATTGATAGTAGTGTTTGACTGCTTGGGGTGTTTTCTGCATGAATTTATTTATCAGCAGTATCTCATAATTCGCTGAAAAGAAATTTCTCTCTCCCTCTCTGTCACTCAAAAGACAAAGAATTGCCCCTGCTTTTGTTAATACTTCATCCTGTGTTAAACAACTGAAAGCTAGGCAAGCTTTTGATATATCTGTATATTTGTGTCGTGTTGTATTTGCAATCATCGTAGCCGTTGCTTCACAACAAGCATAGTTGCTAGTCATTCACAAAATAAAAAGCAGACTGGTGCCAGGTCATGTATGTATGACAGGAAGCCCAGTGGTGGTTCATATTTGCAAGAATTGACAGATGCTGGATAATGTACATGAATGAAGTAAGCTTTGGTTATCATCCACAGAGATGAAAAAGTACAAGCCTACGCTTCAAATGGAAAGGGATTGGTTGGTGCGAGGTTCCAACTTGATTACCCTAGTGTTGGGGCGACGGAAACTCTTATGATGGCAGCATCTTTGGCCAAGGGAAATACAGTGCTTTCAAATGTAGCTCAAGTATGGCAGTAGAAGAATCTCTTAGATATTCTATTCTGATTTGAATAGTGGTTTGTTGTGCTAAGTTTCTGCTGCTTCAAAGATTTTGGACCTCAGTGAATGACTCAAAATCTTGCTTATTCTTTAATTGGATATTCCCTCTGCAGGAACTGGAAGTGATAGATCTGGCTCATTTCCTCACAAGATGTGGAGCTTCCATCAGAGGAGCTGGCACCCATGAACTTTATATTTCCGGAAGGGGTCAGTTGTATGGTTCCTGTTACAGCATTATGCCTGATCGGATAGAAGCAGGCAGCTTCATGCTTGCAGCTGCGATTACCCGCTCTTGTATCTCGTTGTCACCCATCATTCCTTCAACTATATCCTGTTTGATTGAAAGGCTTTCTAGTGCAGGCTGCAAAATTGTATCGTACACTGATGACACCTTGGAGGTATAAGAACGTTCTTACATATTTTAGCTTTTAATTTTCTTCCAGACCCAAATCTGTTATACACAGTTCCGAGAAATATATGATTGATGACCAGGTTTCAGCTATCCCTGAAAAATGTGGAGATGATTTGCAACGCTTTGACATTAAAACAGGCCCATTTCCTGGTTTTCCTACAGATCTCCAACCCCAGACTATGGCATTCCTTGCAACATGTAACGGTCCAAGTATGGTGGAGGAATCTGTGTTTGAAAACCGCTTGGGTCATGGCATGTAGTATGGATAATGGAGCGATCAATCATTGCACTGGAATTCATGTCCACTCTTGTTCACATTCTTGCTCAACTGCATCAGCAAATACATATTTTAACTTGTAGCTACACACGTATTCCTGTTCTAATCTAGGGTAATTTTTATATGACATATCCTTCCCTAGGCACCAAGCCATATTCTTCTTTTCAAACTGTCAGCTATTTACATCTAGTTCTGGCTTTTGGTTCTTGTAGTAAAGGAATTGAGGAAATTTGGGCCCAGAATTCATGGTTGTGGAAGCACCGCTTTGATTTTTGGAAAGGAGACAGGAAGGTTAGCTTCTACTCTTTTATGATGTAGCTGAATATATCTAAATTTGGAGTATGACTATGGTTTATGAAGATTGACAACTCTAAATTACTGTTCCATCAGTAGTTTCAAAGGTTCTCAAGTCATGGCAGCTGATTTACGTAGTGGAATGTCTCTGGTTTTGGCGGGGTTGGCTGCTGAAGGAATAACTGAAGTAAGCGGAATATCTCACAGTGATCGTGGATATGAGAATATGGAGATGAAGCTTCAGAATGTAGGAGCTAATGTCAAGCGTTATGAGTCCTCGACCAAAGCTTGTGCAAGAACTTCGTACGGCATTGCCTAGTTGGAATGATTAGTTGGGAATGTTCATCTGGAAGCCCGTAAATCATCCAGGTTGTGGCATTGCTAACTATTCATATCTGACTATCTTACTAACCTATCACCAATTCTCCAACTGCATTGAGCGCTTAATCTCTACTTGTTCCCATACTGGCTGGATCAGAATGCCGATCAGTTGGTAAAAGTTTGAGTTCTGCGGTCTGTTGGACTTGAGTTTTATCTCACCAACCAACCGTTCAGTTTGTTGGGTTTGGTGGAATAAAATCCAAATCCAACAAAATAAACAGTTGTGAGATAAAACTCAAACCCAACACAGTAAACGTCAGTACGGTTGATAAGTTTAAATTTGCAAATTCAGTTTATCAGATGTAACTATTTGGGCTAGTATGAATGAATGATTAAATGGTTGATGTAGCTTTAAGGGGTTACTGTTTATCCCTATTCCTGTGGGGTTTGCTGTATTGATCTCACAAGTGCGGGCTACATGTAACCATATCAAAAAGTAAATGGAAAGAGTGTAATTTCAATCTACCTGAACCGCTATTTGTTGAGTTATTCCGTGCACTTGGCTGTATTGCCATCAATGTCAGCCAAAATTGTGAGGTCATTTGTTAAGGATTTCATCACCTTCTCATTTGATTTCGCCAACTTTCGTAGTAGTTTTGCAAAATGTCTTTGGTTTATTTTCGAATTTCAGAACACCTTACGCTTCTACAAGTTGGATCATGTATGCTACTCCAGAAGAACATACGCTCCCTCTCCTTGATCACAGATAGTTTCTCTAAGAAAATGCATTTCAGTACCCTTTGGGAAACCTCCAACCGTGGAAGCAATTGTACCTCAGTACCGCCACTCTGCCATAAAACCACATTGCTCAAGACTCTTGCGTTTACTTCATTTTTTTCTCTTTTGAGTCTCCTCCTCTAATCCCCTCTCTTCCCCTTGGACGAAAACAGTTATAATCGATACATGAATCTTACTTGTAGTAACATTTTCAGCGTCAAAAGAGTTTCCCGGTCAAGGAGATGACGATATAAGCATTAATTCTATCGAACATCAAAACCATGAGATATCTCCAGATTCCAAATTTGCCTGAAGGTGTTCATTTGAATATTGTAAAACATTCAGGACCCGTGGTCCGAAATTAGAGAGGCATCCCTTGATAAAGCAATATAATCACGCATCATCACCTCCTAGCATTCAGTCACCGTGAAGATTTCCACTGGCCACAACAAGAGTGGAGAAAATTTTTCCTGCAAGTACCACAAATATGATCTCTGAAACTCAGCTGAGTCCGGGGCATGATTTTCCAACTCAAATTTGTGCGAATTAATCTATGAGAGGTTGCAAAAAACCCAATTTACCATCCCCCTTTTACCTCCCTTCAAATAAAAACAATGGCTTGCCAGCGAGTAACCAACAAATAGCTAGTTTATGACCGATGCCATGAGACTCCACAATGGTGGCATGAGGGGATCAGAAGAAAGATCAGCTACAACTAGACACATTACACTAAATGCCACGATCTCACTGAAAGTATTTGCATGTAGCGGTAAACAGAGGGAGGGTGACATTCTTGAAAACAAAGACATTCTTTAGTAAACTGGGTCTTTCAGCTAGAGTGTTCCTAACCTCAATTAGCAAACTGGGTCTTCAGAAAACTTCTATTAGTAAAAGCTGAACTCAGCGTAGAAAAAGTTAGCACTACTCAACTAATGAAAGGTTTCTCATAATCTGCTAGCTATTTTGGTATTCTCTTCAGCAGCTTGTATAGGCCAAAGACATTCTTCTGCAGCCAAAGATGGGGGATAAAGAAAGAGCGGTGAAGGGGAGGTGACATTTCCCTGTCGAGATATGGTAATGCTGCAACAACCTACATAAGAGAAACTCCCAGTCAGAAAAACAACCCCTTTTTGGTATTTTATGTATCTGCCATGGTGCACCCAGTTGTGTGCACAAAAGTGTGAATATGTGTGTGTGTGTGAGAGAGAGAGAGAGTGGCTGTACCTCCCACTTCGACAAGTCACTTCCACGGGAAAGGACTGGCCGTTGAAGCTGAAGCTCTACAAGGAAAGTGCACTTCTCAAGATCCTGGAGCTGTAATATAGAAGGAAACAAAGTAACCAATTATAGTAACCCATTGAACAATTCACACAAAAACAAAGATAATAATCTTTTTCTTTATAACAAAATAACAAGTGAAGCTAGTGAAACATGTGAGAAAGGAAGGGAAAGAGAGATGCTTATTCACTAGAAAGTCAAATTTTGATTACATATTGGCCATCTGATGCCTTGTTCTTATTGTTGAAATAAGGCGGTGCTGCTGAAGTTCCACCCAAGGTAGAGTTAAAAGGGAATGGAAGAAGACCCCTGAACCCATCATCTATCCACTGAACTTGGGCCACATAATCAGGAATGAAAAAAGATGAAGGAAAGCGGTGCCACTCACTCCCAACACAAACAACAGAACCTGTAAATACATGAAACAAATAAGTAAGGCACACATGAAATTAGGAGGAAATAAACATCCAGATTTTTTTTTTTGGGAAGCAAACACCCAGAATAAACTTGGCTACGATTGTTTCTAAATGTGAACAATTAAATTAACCCCAAAAGCACTGACAATTTTGTCAATAGCAAGAAAAATAGACCAATTCAGGAAATCCCGTACTTCAATTAAACAGGAAGCCTTGTTAGAATAATTTGCCAAGATACTTGTTTACCATGAAAAGGGAAAAGAAAATTCATATATCATCTTAGAAGGAAATTAAAACGGAGGGAAAAGGGATGGGGGAAGAAGGCAATTTGCTGGAACAATGAGGAAAAATTTTAATTTGACAGTAAGCAGGCATACAAGTTTTGTCTAACCAGTTCCATAGTCTTCTTATATTCTGTAGGCCTTGAGGACAGATGATTAAGAACTAGCCATGATACTAAAGTAACATAGCCAGAATTTGACGAAAAGCGTCAGATCCCATAATCAGATAAATGGATTCTCACCAGTTCCTACATCATCATGATGCTCAAAATGCTTGTAAATCTCTAAAGGTGCGGAATAGCCATGAATCAGGGAAAATGTCCGAGAATGGGAAACACACAAAATTAAGCCAAGAATCACAGGTCTCAGAAATTTAGCAACCTGCATTAACAAATCAAAGGTAATTTTTCACCAGCAACAGGCACTGAGCCAATATAAAGCAGCAGTTAGGAGTCATATTACCTTGACAAGCACGGATGGGTTGCGTGGATCATGCTTATCCCGGAAAAAATCAGGAAAGCTCTCAATGACAGCTGAAGCAGCAACACAGATAAGGGGATAAATTGGATAGAGAAACCTAGCAGAAAGTCCATCAGAGGTAATAAGCTGAGTATACTTTAAAACTTTGAGCTTAGCTTGTTAAACAATGCCACAACCATTAATATCCATGCAACACAATCTTTTGGAATCTACAGGGTTGCACTGATGCACACCACCAGGTCATCCAAAAATAAAGCATTTTTCCATGGAAAACTTGTAGCAGGTGGTTAAAGGGAAAAGGGGAAAAACAAACAACTTGCAAATGCATTATGTGGTTGTGTTCTTTCAGTTGAATAGAAAATCATAAACTGTTAAACAAATTCTTCACTTTTAGCGGTAGGATGAATATAGTAATCCTTTCTATCAGTCCTTTCACAAGTTCTTCACTTCTACATCATTCTATCAAGCTTTGATGTTCTGAATTTTCCTTCAGTATGCAGCCAACAGAGAATACATTTCACAGACCTAAAGAGCCCGAAAAATCTTCAAAGAACAACTCTTACTCTCTAAGTAAGCAACCTAACAAACCTTCCATAGTTTCAAATCCTTGATGATTGTACAACCCATTAGTCCAGTAAAAACAACATGTTTGAAGATAATCTAAGCCAAGTGGAGGAATGTAATACATCTAGGTTAGAGAACACTAAACAAATGGCATCCAGGTTATAAAACAATAAAGCATACTAAGCCTTGATAGTAGACCAAAAAAAAAAAAAATCAGATTCTGCATGTTGCAACCAATAAACACTTCAAAGGAACTGAATATGAAAAATATAGATGCAAAAAAGGACAAAATAAAGCCCATTGTTAATTTTCAAAATACTAGGACAACAAATCAAGCAAACCTTTCTTCTTTGTGAGACTGCAGAGACATGAAACCTATCCATATATAGATAGGAGAGATGACGACCAATAAATCTGGTTGATACTTCTTTCTTGCAACAGGAAGAACCACAAGGAACAGCAGGGCAAGAAGGAAGCAGAAGTTAAAGTTATTAAAGCCATTCTTCAGGTAATACAGCGGCCCTTCAGTACCATACAAATGACTCTCCCCACCACCTAAGACATTATAAACCAAGAGATTCAGAACCGATGATGTCCACTTTCCATAGTAGTAGTAGTCAAACACGAGGGAGAGCACCTGGAAGAGATCAAATTCCTTATAATGTAATTCAACAACAACTTAAATGATCAAACTTGGCAATTTATACAAAAAATCAGGATATTAAAGAGTTGAGGAGCAATACTAAAGTTATAACCAAATCCACTCACCAACAGTGCAAGGGAACTGATTAGCCCTGAAAGGAATGCTTCTTTAAACCTTTTAACGAGGGAGTAGATAGTTATTGGAAGAAATGCCAAGATCGAGAATGGCCAGCCAAGAATAACTCCAGTTGCTGCAATAGCAACTGCCATGGCAGGCTTCTCAAAAAGAAAAAGTGCTGACGAAAGAGACATAGCATACATGGAGAACGAACTAGGCAGAAAACCTGCAAATTTAGCCCAATATAAACTTATGCTGTGAAAAGCCCAAACAAATTGAACGTGAAAACAATAACAAAATCAAAGCAAGGTCCAGAAAGATGCTAATTTGTTCAACCATTTATAAACACGCTGGAAGCTTGGATAGAGATCACTGGGAAAAGCTACCTACTAGTACTAGCAAAGAAACAGCCACTGGTTAGGCATAGCATGGCAAGCGCATAAGATGCAAGACGTTTTCCATACTTTCTGGACAGGGCAACCACAAGAGCAGCATCTGTTGCGGTGGAGATGAGTCCAAGAAAAATTCTCACAGCATAAAATACCCTGACCTGAAAGTTATACACGTGTACCAGTTAAGACAGATTCAGGGAAAACAACAAAAAGAAGTCAGGGAAAGAAAAACAAAAAGAAGCTTGAGGTGTTCTTACTTTTTCCTCACCAAACCACCAGGAAGCAGGGGATGCGATTAACTTGTGGAAAATAATGTAAAGATACGAGCGCAGTGCAAATTGGGAGCTGCAGGATGCAAAATATCAATTTAACGACAATGCCGCATGAAGCAGGCGAAGATGTAGTGAAACTCAACTTATACCCCAAGCCTGTTTTTCTTTTACTCCATAACAAGTGTTACTATTCCTTTGTGCAGAAACAGATAATGTCCTACCGTATGCTTAATATCAACTGCAAACTTCCACTTCAGCAAAAATAAAAAAAAAAAAAAAAAATTGTTTAGAAAACTCAATCAAGTTTGAGCACGTAATAGCTCTGCTCTGTAAATGAATATCCGAAAAAGAGAAATTTAGCTCCTACAATTTCACTATTTTACGGATGCAACACATGAAGAAACATAGATCAATTCTCGATTAAAACATTAAGACCAAAAAACAAATCCAAATTAAGCTACTAAAATATAAAAGAAAAGTTTTACACAACTATGTTTAAATTGAGCATTGAGAAGAGAGAAATGGACCTATATTCCCAAGTTTGGAAGCCAGACTTGTAAAGGAGATAGTGAAGAGGCTCCCAATAATTGAAGACCTCATCGCAATCGTGAATTATATTCGTCGTAGAGCTCATGTATCTCAGCATTCCGAGAGAAATCAACGGCAACAACCATCCTAACCCGCGGTCGACCTCATCTTGTCCGGCGTCGGATTTCTTCGGCTTATCGAGCTTCGTATACGAAGAGGACGACGAACTTGACGACGTCGTCAAGAGATCTGTCGGTGGCGTCCGCCTTTGCCTCGTCGCTAAAGCCATTGTTCTGGAAACTTCTGTGGTTTCTAATGAGAATTTACGACTCTGCTTTTGCCTTTTTGCCGTCAGCTGGTGGTGCCGTGGTGGTTTGAACATGGGCGAGAATCATTTTTTCAGTTTGACCAGGTTTCGGGATGTTCCTTTCTTCGGGTTGAAGGAACTATTTGGGCTGCGGCGATTACATTCTGGGCTGAAATCGCGATGGGAGAATCCCAAGCTTTGAATAATAATTACATCACATCACGAAAAGTTTTATAATAATTATTTCAAATAATATTCTATCCAAACACACTTCAATTTTTTCTAATTTGAAAAAAGAAAAATCAAATCTACAGTTGAGCCCAGTATTATTTTGCATCGCCATTCAAACATTTTTTTATTATTTAAACTCATCTTTCGATTCCTAAAATTCAATTTACTTAAAAATTATTTTATAAAAAATTATAAAATTATGCTAGTAGTGTAGAATGTGACACAAGTTAGTCAAAATTCGTTAAAAGTGATGCATCACACTTCTAACCCACCCTGCACGTGTTTTTCAAAAACTAGGAGGAGAACACCGTGAAAATTTTCGTGTTTGCTCAGTCATGTATGGTACATAATTGAACTTTCCCAATTATTTAAGTTTTTCCATTTATATATAGTACATAATTGTTGCAAATTATACTACGCTAAATCATAAATATTATATTCATCCATTCAAAATTATATAAAGCTGTATTATATCTATCCATTCAAAAGTTGATAGAGCAATTTGCAAAAGTAATTTTCGATGATATTGTAACTGTGAAGTGCATCCATGTTCGCAGACTTGAGAAAATGGGACTCTCATCTAGGAATAAAACAAAAAAGTATAATTGTAAGTTACAGGACTTGCTGGATTTCTTTCTCCCCCAGATTTTACCAACAGAAAGCAGTATCAGCACAATATTCATAATGTTTCAAAAGGTATAAATTACAAAAATACAAAAAGGCTATGAAATGCCCTTTTTCTCTCAAGTACTAGCACCCATGAAGACTTGACACAATGCTCAACACAAGACTCGACACAATCGGAAGTGGAGAGCTGCATATGCTTCCAGTCTGAGATAAGATAAACAAGTCATTATCTCAAGTTTAGAACCTTATTGACGTAGCAAATGAGATCTGATAAAGCAAATGAAATAGATATACAATGGAAATATTTTGGGCCCATGATAACAGCAAAGAAAGGTATTAACACCTTTCAAAATGGTATTTGAGGCCAAAATATTCATCCACCGACCCAACAAATTTTATCACTTTAATCTTTGTTTTCCTACAACAGTTGAAACTAACTCAAAATTGTTTTTGAAGTCACCAAAAGACTAAAGGCCTTCAATTTCTTTGGACTTCATAAAAGGTAGAGACATCAAGAAAAGAAAATAAGAACTTGTAGAATAGAAGACTTGCAATATTTTGGATAGTGTATTATTTGAAATATTATTTGGAATAATTACTGTAGCACTTTTTGTGATATGATGTATGTGAGATAAAAAGGTGATTGGAAATATAAAAGGGTTGGTTGGAAAATGTATTTGTGATGCAAGCGAAATATTATTTGGAATAATTTTGGTATCCAAACACTCCCATTATTTTTTGAACTAATTTTGACTATTTAAATAACATAAAGTAAGAACTGAGCAAGGAGGCTTCATACTCTTGCTTCATCAAGTGTAATAAAACATCTCTACACTTAAAGTCGCCAAGCAGATGCACAACTATGTAATTGGCTGAGTTAGTCTAAGTATAAAAATTCTCATGTTTAAAGCTTTGAAACTACACACTTGTCAAATGGATTTAAACCAAAGTTTGCATTCCCACTTGTACTCCCAAGAAAGGACAAGATATTAATCAGTCAATATTCTGCACCCTTTTGTCATTACTTATGAGTTCTTACTTGAATTCGATAAAAGAAGAGAGACAAATAAATTTTTTTGTATAATATATACTGTATAAAAAAATCAATAAAAAAGAAAATGACAACTTGTTTAGTGTTACAATTTAAATATGTTTCACCCTTTTGAAAAAGACATTTTTTAAACCATTTCAGCCATTTAATTAGTTAAGCCACCTTCTAAATTGTCAAGTCCTTATGCTCTAATGAAACAGCAAAAGTGGCACACCACTTAAGTTCCCTAATTTCTATTAAATCTGTCATAGGAATTTTCTCATCCTGATTTTTGTGCTTTCCAGCAGCCAAATTTTTAAAGTCAATGATTAAGAAACTTATTTACATAGCACGCCAAACATCTTACTAAAGTAAGCAGCACATTGTAGGCATAATCAAACTTATTGATACAAAACTAAGAAAACAAAGTCAAGAATTTAATTTCACTTACTTGAGCTATAAAATGCAATCCAAAAGTGTGAAATAGTTGGTTACCTATCTCTCATAGTAGACCACGGTCTAATGATAAAAGATTCTAAGTGTACTATTAAAGATAGAGATAAAGACATGCATCACACTTCATAAAGCAAAGGACAACTATTTTCTTGCAAAAGAAAATATAATGTCAAATTGGAACATAAGAACTTAAGAAGTCATGTGAGCAACACCTAAGAGTACAACCACTCTCTAGCAGCTCATTACCTTTCTTGTAGTTCTCTACGTGAGGCAAAGATATGCTTCATCCATTTACTTATGGAGTTCATTTAGAAGTCTTTGTTAGTAAGTGCTAGGAAATACACAGCTCATTCAAGGAAGAAGCGATTGCAGTATAATGAACCAGGGATGCTCTCTATCCATTTGGTTATCCAGTTAATCTTGAAGTCTGCTTCAGAGGGAGTTAGATAGTATACTAAACATGTGAGATCGAGTTATTTAGCATGCCTCAAAGAGTACATTGAAAAGGAATGAACGAATACATGGAAAATGCAAGGACAACCTGTTTGTTCTATTAAAAATGTATTTTGTGATATGTCAACATAAGAAAGTTTAGGCCAACCTGCAGCAGATGGCTTTGTGCTTTGAAGAGCTGATTCGTTTGATGATTCTGAGGTAATCTATAGTTGCATTCACATAAGCGATTTCCCATAAAGAACATGCCAGGAAAATTGAATTTTACTTTTATCACTGCTAGAATCAGCTTCCTAACTTCTTGTACACATGGGTAGGAGTCTGCTGAAGAGAAGGTTAAGATCTCTGTGTCAAAGAAGCATAAGAACAAGAGGAAAAAGTCAGATATAAAGAAATAGGTAGTGCCTCTAAGTGCTTAAATATTCTAGTCTCCATCATTTGTAGTTCATTTTAACTTTGACCATTGTTACTTTAAAGAACTCAAAGGACTCTATAGATGGAAAGATGAAAGACCTTAAAAAAAAGGATGAAACAATGACCTTGAGTGAATTCAGCTTTTGGTGATTCCTAGAGTCTATTAGAAGGGAACAATCAAGACTAAAGAACTCAAGTACTATTGCAAAGTGAGCTAATGCTAATGCTTTCCCTTTAAAAGTCATGCTTTCCCTTTAAAGAACTCAAGTACTATTGTGTAGTTTTAGTGGAATGAGATAGATATTTCAATACTTATAGCATTTACTGTGAAAACTATGTGTATCAACTAAGCTGTATCATTAGTACAAAAACACCAAAAAAAGGAAAGGGTTGAAAAAAAAAACTAACTATAAGAGCTACAGGAAAAGTACCTAGAAATTCACCGAACCAAGAGCAGAACCTGCAGAGCAAAAAAAAAAAATAAATAGCCGATGATGATGAATATAACAGCACCATTAGTATGGGAACACAAAGACAAAACTAAAATAGGAAATCATCCATGCATGCATCAATTGCCTTATGCTAAAGTTATTCTTAATGCTTATAATTCCAGTGACTTGTGAGAAGAATAGAGCTATTAAATCAATTTAAACAAGCTTATAACTTACAGGACACAGCTTTGGAAACTACAAATTCAGCAGGCACATCACTAAATAAAGAAGCTAAGACCATGCATGCAACAGATTCAGCATTAGATAACGGGTAACACTCTACAATTCACAGCAAAACCCAAAACCAGAATTTGAGGGGATACCTCTTGGCTACCGTGAAGTTTTTTTGTTTCAGAGGACAATAGCGAATTAGCAATGTAAACGAGACAAGTACTTAAACAACTAAACTCCAAAAGCAAAAAAGGGAGAAAAATATCAAATTCTTGGAACCTTAGTAATCACTAAAACACATGGAACTTTGAGCACTATGAGATAAACAATTATGTAAGTATCAGATCCTAAATTTCTAACCACACAAAACCTTAGACATCAAAGAAAAACTCCATTAGGCAAGATATGAGAAAATGACATTTCAAAAAACCACTCTAAACAACGGTGTGAGTAGTCAAGAAAGAAACGGAAAGGAGGAAAATAAATAGGAGACACTAATTCCCCTGTATACTAACCAGTCACCATGAAGCAAGCACTTGTACAACCAAAAAACCTGAAAAAAAAATAAAGAAAATATTCAATAACTACCAGATAGAATCAGAAGAATAAAAACTGATCTAAAAAGAAATTAACATATAAACAAAAGCAAAATCTACCTAAAGGCTCTCTTAGCAATTATTTCCCCTTTTCATCTCGGCGGCAGCTGTTAGTGCAAAAAAATAAATTTCATGTATAGCTGAGAAAGGAAAAAAGGGAAATTAGGCACAACATAGGAAAAAAAAAGAGGAAATTTTCACCTCAGATAACTCCTTTGAACTTCATTTGTTTTTTATTGGTTTCATCCGTGCAAAGTGTAGAATAGTTCAAGCATACCTTAATATGAAAGTTTCCAAAAAGATTAAGATCCATAGAATAATAGGTGGAAGCAATCTTGTTTGTTTAATCAACATTTACAAAAAAAAAGGAAAAAAGGCGGGGAACGAAGATGCGGCTGATCAAGAGGAAGAAAAGCCTATGAAGAAGAAGATGGGGGTGAAGTTTTTCTTGGAGATACTTGCTCTGTTCTTCTGCAGTCTGACTGGATAACTGATGGAAAAACAACTAGGGCTGCCAACGAGCCGAGTCGAGTCGAGTTTTGAGCTAATCAAGCCGAATCTCGACTAAAATTTACCAAGCTTGAGCTCGATCTCGAACTCGACGAGCCAGCAATATTCGAGCTCGAGCTCGACTCGAATCAAGTCGAGCCGAGTTCGAGTTTGAAAAAAATAAAAAAATAATTATTTTATTTTTAAAAAAATAAATAAAATAATATTTTTTTCTTAATAAATAATAAAATATTAAAGATATATACGTAATTTTACTATAAAAATAAAAATTAAAAAATATATAATATACATAATTTTATTATTAAATAAAAATAAAAAAATATATATATATACTCAAACTCGCGAGTCGGCTCGCGAGTTAATGAGTTTAACATTTTGAACTCGAGTTCGACTCGAGCTCGATTAATATCGAACTCGACTTGAGCTTGACTCGAACCGTCCGCGAGCGGTTTGATTCGTTTGCAACCCTAAAAACAACAAACCAATAACGAAAGAGCAAAAAGCGAAAAGCAACAGTAGCTCAAATACCAGTATCATAATGTAGATATCTCCAAAATCCGACGGGCAATACATGGACGTTCGTCCGCTTATTGTACGAACAAATTTTCAACAGGCTTCTCAATCAAAATCGGAGCAGAACGTTGTTCTTTGTCAAGCTTGTACAGGTACGGTGGAATCTATTTTACACTCGCAGGCATTCAAAAAAAAGATCTTTTATAATAGAATTTGTAAAATTTGAGGAGCAATAAGGGTAAAATTATAATTTCAATGGCCTAACATTGAGCCCAACACCCACGCCTTGTCATTCAACCTGACCAACCACACTTGGTACAGCGTGTCTTAGCCACTCTCCTCTCTCTTCTCCTATTTGGCTTGCAATTTATAGTCTGTCTTCTAGTCATATATATATAATAAAGTCATATTTTCGTATTTATTCTTTCATATTTTCTCTTTCCTACGTGGCTTAATGAGACGTCAAATAGTTTCCTACGTGACTTGCTCCTTTTTTGTTTGGATATATATCAATTTTTATTTCCTATAAAAATTCTTAATATTATATGATTCTTATTTCCTACCCAAAAAAGGAACTGAAAAGTAATGCGATATAAATAAAAGCGACATAAATCTCCTCTATTAGATATATAGGAATAAATGATAATATATTTTTTTATAGTGTCCTATTATTTTTTTTTAAACAGTTTCATCATAGATCCTTTTTATTTTAAGATAATCTACCCATATATAGAACAACATACAAACAATTTAGACATGAAAATTAAAGAAAGTTAGCCTGAAAAAGTTTTTACAAGACTCACAGTCCCCATGCATAATTTGTGTACAAAGAAAAATGATACTTCATCTGATTGAAAAATTCTGGAAAAGTCCATAAAGAAAATGGAGTGTCATCAACCAAAGAAATAAAATCCTATTATCATAGCTAAAGAAAGATGAGATAAAACATTAGATATTTGTTGAGGTTTTGCACCCTGAAGGCCCCTACCCGACCCTCCGTCCGTAGTGTCCTCCAATCCAAAAGAAATGCCTCCGTCCGTAGTGTTCTTCGCCCGTCTTTTTTTTAATATATTTTTGTTAATAATTCCTTAATCACAATACATCTCTACCTAGATGGTAAGGAGTATTTCATGTGTGGACCTACATCATAGGAGTCTATGCACTTAAAGGACTCGATATAGTAGAGGTGGTCTTTTAAGATCGGTAAAATCTATCTTGATAACACATTTGTAAATTTATTACGTACATGTTTATATACGTGCATAGTACGGGTCACATAAGGTCTTATTTTCTACCCAAAGTTATTTGGACGATTATGATTTTATTTCTTATAAGAATTCTTAATATTATAGGATTCTTATTTTCTACCAAAAGTTACGTACTTTAAGCAATTTAAATTAAGATAAACATACTTTTAATGTTCTTATCAATATCTCTTTGTATTCTTATCAATTCTTATTTCCCATGTCTACACTACATATAGCCTCTAATATATTGATTTCAAGTATCAAATTCATGGTTAGGTATTTCCAGTGCAAGCGATTGGCATATTAAAGTGTCGATTTTGGGTTTCCACCCCTCTTGATTATCAGGTACATCTTTTTTCAATATATATATATATATATTTTTTAAAAGGCATGTTGATCTTCAATTGTAAGAGCTTAGTAACATATCTTGAATTTTGTTTTTTTTTTTATTTTCTATTTGTTTTGTATGAAGACATAGGATTTAAACAAGTACTTTCATTGTTATTTTTGTAGGATCTTTTCTAACATGTTTGTTAATTGATTTTTGTGATCATATACTACGATGTTTGTTAATTTGTCTTCAGGAAAAACAACAAAAAACAAAAGACACTGGAAAGTAATACGATATAAATACAAGAGACATAAATATCTCTATTAGATATATCTGCAAATTCATTAGTTAATTAAAAGATTTTGGTCATTTACTTAATTATAATCTTTACGTATTGTTATACACAAACTTGAATGCGATAAATCATTTATTTTTTTTATACTTAGTTATCCTACTTTGCTATCATACAGTGATAATAGAAAATCAATAAATGCTGATTTGCACAGACAAATCGAAGAGAATGTTCAAACAGAAAAAAACAAAAACAAGTTTCTGAATAGTAGAATATTATTTGATACTATTTATTGCACTTTTATTTATTTTCAAATTTTTGAATGTTATGATATTGTTGAATGTTATTTTTTCTACTTTTGAATTATTATTCACTGAATTAGATGTTCAAATTTATATTATAAGAATACTTTACATTACAATGCGTATATAGTAATATACTTAAGACAAGTTATAATAGATTATACATTAAATATGTATTTTATATCGACATTTTTATAAATTGACTAAAATTTATTATTTTTCGACGATTTCCGTTCAACGAACGGGTACAAAACTAGTTAGAACTTAGAAAGTTAGAAGGAAAGAACGAATGAAAAGAAAACGAAATGGGAATATAAGAAAGACAAGCTACCACTAAAACCAAGTTGGATGAACACTCTCTAGTCTCTAGCCAACCGCATTTCATCATGTCAGTAACACAGGCACCCCTTTGAGACGAGACATGGCATGGCATGTGTGAGAACCCGTATTTCCCTAATGTGTATTGGGTTCATTTTCTTTTGATTGGCAAACCGAACATGTATATTCGTAATGAATGATTTTTGATATGCCGCTTTGGCTTGAAAATATTACATTTCAATGTGTGTATGTTTGGTTGATATTTGGTTGAATTTCGGATCAACTCGTATTTCAAACGGCAAAAGAAAAAAATTTGACTACTCTCGGCCTAGTATCTGGATTCTGACGTGGCCGGTACTGTTCATCATCGGCTTCGATTTTCATTTTTTTTGTGATTTTGACTTGTTTACGCTCGTGAGTATGTTCCGGAACGTATTAGATCGACGTGAACTAATCCGTAGTCCTGACGAGAGTTGGGCAGGCAGTCCGCTAACCCCTTTGGTTCGTCTTAGGGGAAAGTGGGGCTGTTACAAGTGGTATCAGAGCCACTTCGCGTGGTCTCTGCGCAGAGTGAGACTGAGTCAAGTGGTGTTGTGGTCCTAATTTCATGAATATGTCTAAGTGCTCGTTTGAGCGTAAGTTATGAACCGAGCATGTGATAAGTGTACGAATCATTATCATGGGACTTGAGGAAACTAGGTATGTATGTCGGGTAGGAATCTTTAATAAGGATGGTTTACTCTTGGGACCGGCCGGCTCGAGATGTGAATTATCTTAGACAAGATTCTTGCGCCCGGATACGAAAGATATGAGGGCCTAGGTTAGAAAGGATTTGGTGAACTAGAAAGGTGATTCTATGGAACTTCGTGTGGTTTGTTCGGGTGTGGTTAAGCGTCATCGACCTTGATTAAGATATAAATATTTGGACGAAACCCTAGAAGGGGAAAAGCTTTTCGTGAGTTCTTTTGCACTTGTGACCTAGGTGTCTATAGCACTTTTGAAGGACTCTTTTGTTTCATGGAATGACTTCGTATGTACTTGACTGACTGTTCCGTATAATTGTTTAACCTGGTTATGTGATCTATGTATACGTGTTATGTGTTTAAATGCTCTTCGCGGTAATTGTTTGAGTTACTTATTCTTGTTTCATTGTTCCTGTCTGGTGCTACGGAAAGGAGGGTTAAGTGCCCTTTAACAGTATATTTATTTGGTGACCTAAATTGACTTAGATTGATGGAAGGCACTCGGAGTGGTCGAGGTCGTGGACGCAGAACTAGACAACCCACACCGGTTACGGGTACGGGGGAAATCTCTACTGGACCCAATCCTGAACCACAAGTAGACCCGAATGTGCAAATAACTGCTGCTATGCAGCAAATGACAAACCTACTAGCACAAGTAGTGCAACAATAGGGCCAGAACCCAAACTCTAACCCCGAGAACCCTGATAACCACATCGAGAGCGAAGATAGAGCTCTCAAACGATTCCAAAAGTTCGCTACGCCAAAGTTTGTTGGGGGACCCGACCCAGACGTTCCCGAAAGATGGCTTGAAAAGATAGTGGATATATTTGCAGCACTACACTACCCTGACGAACGGCAGGTGACTTTTGCCGTGTTTCAACTTGAGGGGGCAGCCCGTTCCTGGTGGAACGTAATTCGGCAGAAGTGGGAACGAGAACAGACACCTAGGACTTGGGTGAAGTTCATCAGAGAATTCAATGCGAAGTTTTTCCCTCCTCTAGTTCAGGAGATGAAGGAAGACGAGTTCATTCGACTCCGCCAAGGAGCTCAAATTGTGGCGGAATATGAGAGCCAATTCACCCGCCTATCCAAATTTGCGTCCGAACTTATCATGACCGAGCAACGAAAAATACAGCGATTTGTCCAGGGCCTGAACGTAGAAATCCAGAAGGACCTCGCGGCAGCCCAAATTAACGCCTTCAACGAAGCAGTGGAGAAGGCACAACGAGTA